CCAACAATTTAACTAGAAAACAACATATTTTTCTGGTTCTAACTACCAAAAAAAAAAGCAGAGGTCACACCTAAAGAATCACGGTACTGTTTATTTACAAAATAAATAAAAAAACACACATGAATTAACCTCTTTGTATTGCTTCCTCTTGATTATCAGTCTATTGTCAACTCCTTACATTGTCTTAAGTTGAAGCAAAGTTTAAACAACACAAAACACATAGCAAAAGTATTAAAAAAACAAACACAACAACTTGCAAATAGGATTCCATTGCCATTAGCCTATATCCATTTTAAATGCCTGAGCAAAATAACCTACAATAAATACTGATTTATTTACATCTCACACTATAAAATTTTAAACTATGAGCCTCATTGTGAAATACTGGCAAAACTGATATTCATGATTTTTCTGACATAAAGAGTGTAATAAAAAGAGCAATTAAATGTAGCCCTAAAGTACTGTACTCAATTTGTAAATGAATTGTGCCCAATAATTTAAGACTGTTAATAACCTAAGAAAGCAACGCGATAACCCTGATAACTGGGGAGTTATTAAAACCCATTTAATTCAGCTGAGAAAGGTAAGCTCAAGTTTCTCCTTTAATTTTTGTTGTTGTCACAACTATTTTTGCCCACAGAACCTTTCAAACTTGTTACAGTCGTAAGATCATTTATATTCACAGGAAAAATAATCCCCATAGTACTTTATAAGAAATTGATCAGAGTGATGAAACTGTATAATTACAGTATAATTAACAAAAACTGTAAACAGTATCTTCACATTCATTTTTAAATGAGAAAAAAAAGATGGGCATAAATATCAATTTAAGAGAACAGAGACTTTAAAAGGGAAAAGGAAAAATGGAGGACACTTAAGATAGAGGAGTGCTCTTTTTCAAACTAAATACAGATTAAAAATTCTAGGAATATTGATCAACAAATTCTATAAACTACAAAATAAAAACCTTCATTGACAAAAATACATAAACTCTGTTTTCATTTTTGGAAATTTATTTTTAAAAAAGGTAGAAGAAAATACCTTGAAAACTATTTTAAATATATATATATATTTTTTAAAACAATAGTTAAGGTAGGCATCCAACTTAGCAAGCTGCAGCTATTGAGAAAGATCTTGCAAAGATTGTTGTGGGCATTTTCTCCAAAATAAAGTTAATATTTGAAAATGCTCAATAGAGGGTTTTATTAAAGAAATAATCTCTTTCTTGTCATGAGTGAAGACTTTTGAATGATGTATGATTCTTTAAAATTGTATCTCGATATGAGATACCAGTATTTCTTATTATAAGCATGAAACATAACTTTCTGTATGGAAAATATACATACTTTTTAAGTACTTTGACTTAAACTTAACAAGTTCACCATTTTTAAAATTAAAGAGTACATTTATAAAAATTCCATTTTAAAACTAAAAGTATATTCTCTAGCAGTATGTATAAATATAACATGTTCCTGGATGATCTTAAAACAAATCTGAAAGTGTTGCAGTAATTTTAAACCTAGAACACTGAAACGTATAGCAAATGATTTTTTGCTTTTTATTCTTGAAAACTGTATAAAACCTATTAAAGGTTTTAAAACTATGATCAGTTTAATTGTTTAAGGTGCAGCTAGCAGCATACTCATGATTTTGGTATGTTTTTATACATATGTATCAATTGATTTGAACTGAGAATGTGGATTAAATGATAAAAAGTTTTCATTACCTAAAAAAGTGCAGAAAAATTCAAGTTTTAAGTTCAGTGCTCTTTATTTTGGAAAAAAAATAAACAAAATTCCAAAAGTTAAAATGTAAAATAAATATTTGACACAAAAAAGTTACCTTTGGATATAGCTTTTCTAATGTCACATGAGAAAATGCCTTAAGCAAAACGTATATGAAATATAAAACTCAGGGTGAACTTTAAACTCCATGGTGTCTTCTACATATTTTTTCTTTCCTCAGCTGTCTTCCCAATGTCCTCCATAACCTAAAAGTATGTAACACTTTCAGACTTGTTTAAAAACACATATCTACATGAAATAACTTCAGAGGTACCTACAATTAAGTTCTAAGCAAAAGAAACACTTTTCTTTAAAGTTCTGTACTTAAACTGTAATATATTACACATAACATAGACAAGTAGCAGCATTTTTTCACATCCATATAAAAATCAAATTAAGTTAGCAATAGCTCGGCTTTATATCTATAACCATTTATGGAAACACTCTGTACAACTGAAATGCAAACCAAAGGGATTAAGTTGATGCAAAACTTCAAATGGCTATAATACACAGAATTTGTCAGGATATAAGATTTCAAATAACTTTCTAAGCAAATACATATGGATTTTAGTCTGAAGAGTGAAATGAACTAGATATGTGATACATATAGGGAAACCACTTCCTATTCACAAACTGCTAATCAATGAATACTTCAACGACTAGAGCCAAGGACAAATGCAACAAAGAATGTTTGAGGATATGAAGGAAGCACACGCAATCTTTCATTTTTCTAACATTTTCTACTTTGACTTTTTTTTTTTTTTGGTTTGTTTTCCTGAATTCTTGGCTTGCTGGTGACTATTTCTGCATTTAAAAAGAAAAAAATAGAGATGTTATCTCTCAAATTACAATAAATTCCCTGGGTTAGTTATTCCTGCAGACTGTCTCTTATCTACAGACTGACTCAAGTATAACTTCGAGAAGCTTATTTCCTATTTTCAAAAATACTTCAAGCTTTCTAATCCTAAGTTTCTAGTGTGCTGTGCATAATTTGTAAATTTAAAAATGAAATAAAGTAACCCAAAATATTGGTTTAAAATTTTCTTATAAAATCCATCTCAGGTAAACATATCTATTTCTCTATTTGAAAATAATTACAAGATTGGTTCATTTTATATACAACAGTAAAAATGAAGTGGATATACAATTAACACAATATAGCAAATTAAGTAGAGTTAATATGCCCTTCCACATGAATGGGTAATCAACCATTATATTACTTTATTTAGTGCTTCTCAACTTCAAAATCTGTAACTATACCTTTAAAAAAGGGCCTACTACTTCCTTTGACATATGGAACAATGGGTTTATTAGATAATGTACAATAAAAATTAAACAATTTGTAAATGGCTGAATGTTCATCATACAGTTGACAATAACAAAACAGAAATACGTTTTATCAATACATACTGTCTACAAATTCAAAAACTTGTGGAAGTACTATATCTTTAAAACATTTCTTTTGGCTTAGTCAATTATCTCTATCACATATATTTAGTCCCTCTCTAATGATATTTAAAGTAAAATTTTAATGTAAACTTTTGTATCCCGTAGTGCACATTTTAAAAATGTAAACAAAAGGCTTTATGAATGAAAAGCGTAGAGGAAAAGATGCCTAACAGACTGCATGAAATTAAGGTGTTCTACCTTACCTTTAATGAACAGAAAAACAACAGCATGTTTGCTATCAATTTGTGCTCTGATTATCTCGATGAAAAAAGAAACTGGTTTTAAACAAATTTTTATAGAAAAAAATATTTAAATTTCATTAAGTGTAATGCTTCTATTTTGCTTTTCCTTCATTGCTATAGTAACAATCAATAATAATCTCAGATGCCGGCGTTTGAGATTACTTCCAAAGTCTACCGAGTTGTCTTTTTGTCTGCAATGCTATTTAGGAACCCATCATTTGCTGCCCACTGATGGTTTCATTGGCATTACATTCCAATACAGACATAATTTAGTTACAAAAATGCACATATTTTCCTTTCCTTGGGTTTTTTAAAACCTTGAAAGGACATGTACAGATGTATAGTATACGTCTACAGAAAATATTTCATACGTCATCAGACTAGACTCTTATAGATAATTATTGACAACAGATGCTTGTAGTTTTCCATGCGACAGCATGTGCACTAAGATTTAATTGACTCATCACCTGAGTGTACTGGAACTATTAGCAAATCAGGGACATTTAAAAAAGGGAGCTGAGCACTTTATTGAAATAATGAAACGTTTTTTAAGCAATTTTAATTAAATAATGCAAAGGTACATTTGGTTAAACATTTTATAAAAATTCAAGCAAAATTAAAAACTTAGCCAATTTCAACGTTTTTACAAATTTAACCAGTAACTCTTTTGGTCAAATCCACCTTTAGCTGAATCAATGAGAATGAGGACAAAGGACACTGAAGTATTCTCCTCACCACAATGGAGGTTTCCCTCACTCTCCACATCGGGTAGCCACTGCATGGAAACTCCCGGGTGACGAGCAGTTCGGTCACGCTCTACACTTTTCTTTTCAATGAAAAGTGGTGTATCACCTTGTTTTGTTTTTGACAAAATATGGACTAAACACAAGTATACAATGACAAGAATCCAAGAGTGGCCCATACACAAGTCAACCATGTGTATGTCTTTATTTTTTAAAGCCCGCCATTCAGCTTATCTGTGTAAAGATTTGTTAACACACAGTTCATTTCTTTCTCACTAATGATACTGAGGACCAGTCAGTTTAAGGGAGGGAAAATCCAAGACAACTGTTTATAATTCAGTCAATGAGACCAAACATAACCATTTATGCTTCAGAGCTTTATCTTATTGCCTCTCCCTCAAGAGGTCAAACACTGATGGCAGATGCAACAGCACAAATCTTTTGGCATATGACAGTTTAATACAGGAATGATCCAGGAATAGTCCTGCCATGGCTCCTCAACATCCCCCTGGTTTCTTCCTTTGTAATGTGCAACCTGCTTAGTTCCCAAACAGTCATCTCATAGTTGGCACAGACCATATACTCCACACTGAGCATGTGGACACTCCTCAGTAAAGCCACATGACTGAGGTAAAACAGTGCATAATTGTGCTAGGAAAGAACAGTATTCAGTGATGAACATCCTTTAATGTTAACTTTCCTAAAGTGAAGTCAATGAAATGAAAAAGGAAAATTCTTTTTCCTTTTGGCTGAAGTTGAACTTAGTTGGGGATTTCTGGTGGTCAGAACTGGTACCACTTCTTATCTTTGTATTTCAACATCATCTAAATGGGAGAAAACATGAAAAACATGTTTAAAAAATGACAGAACAACAACATTCGTAAGTTATAACTGATTACTATATTTTTTCCAAAACTTACCATTCTGAAACTTTCTCTAATGTCACTATTATTTACTTCCAATTAACTTATAATGAAAGTGATAAGAACTGTTTCACTTAGGAAAAAAATAGTTTCATAACTATTAAGAACCAGACTAGAAGACCCTCACATTTCTTAGACACATGACATCATAAAATTTTGGCTCAGTACTATCTTTGGTGACCTAAGCTAATACCAATAAATTAATTTTCAGTTCTTTAATTTTAACTAGAAATAATGCTTAACCAGGGAATGGACTGGCTGGCGTGGCTCAGTGGTTGAATGTTGACCTATTAACTAATTTGATTCCTGATCAGGGCACACGCCTAAGTTGCATACTCTATCCCCAGTGTGGTGCACACAGGAGGCGGCTGATCAATGATTCTCTCTCATCACTGATATTTTTAGCTCTCTCCCCCTCTCCCTTCTTCTCTGAAATCAATAAAAATATAATAAAAACAAATAAACCTGAGAACAAAAGGTTCGAAATTCTAACATGACTGCCAGCTAAAATTTCCTGAGCTAGCACTGCATAATACACTTTGCTTATATGAGTTCATCTGGTTCTCAAAATAACTCTATGCAAAAGGCATTATTATTCTCCCATTTTATAAATGAAGAAACTGAAGCTTAAAGGGATTACCCAAAACAATACAATGGTGAAACTGGGTTTGAGCACACATACTCTGACTCAAGAACCTATGATCTTAGCTACCTCAATGTATTTTCTTCCTTTGACTCTAAAATATAACTAAAGAATATTTGGCAAGAGGAAAACCTACCAGCTTGAGCTCTTTGCTAAATATTTAGTGTATATATATTCTTAAATTGGCTGAAGTGTTATATGCTTTACAGATCACATTCAGGTGCAGGGTTATGTCAACAAATTCTTGCCCTAGATCCAAGGCTGCTAGACTATATCTGAGCTATGTTGGCCTAGTATAAGAACTGACAAAGGACCGCTGATTCTCTTTGAAGCCCTGAACAAATCTTTTCCAGATCAATTTATTTCTCTTATGCATTCTAGGAGACAGCATTCTTGAGCAAAAAAAGAGATGACTTTTGATTGAAAAATTTACAGATCTCTTTGCTGGCAGATTGGGTATTCAAACATTAAACCTTAATATGGATTTTTCAGACAACAAACTCAAAACGTCCTCAAGGTATAGGTGAGGAAGTGAATGCCTGAAGTAACCCAGTGTAAAGCATCAAGGAACGGCAGACTTATGGGTCAAAATGAAAATAGTGTATTGAATCTAAAGGCCTATATTCAGTTTTTAAAGTGTACTATGTTGGCTAATAAAGCCTATTTGTAAGAGGATCAGCTAGGAAGCATACTTTATAGATTCCCTTTCTAAGCTCCACAATGATGTCCTAGCTCTTCAAGATAAATTTGCTGCAAAAATGCATCTTACAATATTTCTCTGTTTGAACTGGTCTACAGAATTAGTATTGTCTATTGAATAAAAGTACTTGATAATACTAGTAATTTAGATCTACTTAAAGAATATAGAGAGGAAAATTATTTCCTTTTCTCAGAGAATCTGAGGCATTTAGGAAAGTTAGCTGTGTTACTGCATTCCCTAAGAAACAGTTGCAGAGAAAAGATCTACAAGTCCCTCAGATTTATAAACTTCAGTAAAAGACCAAAAGCTACTGAGACATATTCTTGTAATAGTTCCCTCTGGTGGCAAAAATCAGGAATTTCCCATTGTACAGAGGATACGCAAAAATTCATGTGCAGATATAAAATAGCTATAAAAATTCAGTAATTTTCATACTTGTTTTACTGAGATGTTTTTTCTTTTCTTTTTGTTTAAATATTTGCTAGACGTACCTCATGAGCATGTTTAGAAAATGAATCTGCACTGGACAACATAGCTGTGGTTCTTTCTTCCAGGTCACCCAGTTTCTGCCCTCTTTCATCCAGTGCCAACCTGGCTCGTGCTAATTCACCAACGACTCCAGATGCTGCTCCTTTCACACCTTCAATGCCACCAGGACCAGGGATATGTTGTGCAAGACTTCTCGAAGCCTTTCCTGAGGACGATTCTCCAACTGAACAAATTGGTAAATGAAAGAGTAACTAAAAAAATGAAAAATTTACTAATATAAAATCCTAACTCTAGCAGTTTGGCTCAATGGATAGAGCATCAGCATGTGGACTGAAGGGTCCTGATCGATTTTTGGTCAGGGGCACACGCCCAAGTTGTGGGCTTGATACCTAGTTAAGAGGCGTGCAGAGGCATCCTATCAATAATTCTCTCTCATCATTGATGTTTTGATCTCTCTTCTTTCCTCTCTGAAATCAATAAAAACATATTTAAATTTTTTTTAAAGTCCTACTACCTGATAGCACTAAAACAATTTTTAGACTGAATGACAATATAATGGAAATATTTATATATTTCACTTCATAATTAATGTTTTTATTATGATGGTTTTAATTTTTAGATATTTTTAAAAACATGCAAAAATTGTACATTTAAATATTTTATTTTTTATATAACTAGATTTGTGCAAAGAAGGGACTGGTAATTTTTTTATTGAAATGAATAGTGGGTATGCTGACACCAATTTAAATAACAGTAAATATTACTATTAAGTGTGAAAAAACTGAATATAAATTAAAGATATCTAAATTCAAATACATAGTTTTAAATATACAGATTTAATTTAGTTTATTTACTCCATGCTTAAAATACTATGCTTAAGGGCTTAGAAGAAAAAAAAAAAGAAAAATAAAGAATTTATTCAGTATTCTATTTTAGGCTCCAAAATATAGATATATTACATCCCTTTCTTCCTCTCTATTTATATTGTCACTTACCAAATAGATTAAATTTTCCCTTAAAAAGATTTCAGACATTCATTGCTTCATTTCCCTTCATTAGCCAGCCTCTAACTACCTAGATTACTGCAAGTCTTAAATTCTGTTAAAATCTGATGTCATAGTCCCTATTCCCTCAGCATACATTTCTTTCTTTAGCAATATAATTCACATACCATAAAAAATGTTCCTTTTAGTTAATTCAAAAGGCTTTTCAATCATCATTACTATCTATTCTTGAGTATTTTCATCACTACTAAAAACAAAACAAAAAGACCCATCCCAACTTTTATCAGAAACCAATGTCCATTTTCCTCCCTTCTCAGCCCTTGGTAATCAATTCTCTACATATTTTCATATTCTGAATACTTCATATGAATGGATTCATACAATATGTAGTCTTTTAGGTCTGGCCTCTTTCACTAAAAAAAAAAAATGTTGTCAAGCTTCAAACATGCTATGGCATGTATCAGTACTTCATCCTTTTAAATCTATACTAATAAAAGTGAAATATGCAAATTGATGGTACCTTCACAATGCCCACCAGCCAATCAGGAGTAAGTATGCAAATTAACCCAACAAAGCTGGCAGGTTAATTTGCACATGCTGGTGCCAAGTGGCTGGGGGTGATGATGCCAGTGTTCTGCACCGCCCCAGCCGCTTGGGGCCTCTGGGCAGAGTGGGAAGGCAGCTCCAGGCCGGAGCCAGGTGGTGCTGACAGCCAAGGGAAGGAAGGCCCATTCTTGCATGAATCTTCATGCATTGGGCCTCTACTGATGGAATAATATTCCATTGTATGAACTGATGACATTATTCATCAGTTGATGGGCATTTTGAATAGTTTTCAGCTATTATAAATAATGCTAATATAAACATTCCCACAAGATTTTGTGTGGACATGTGTTTTCAATTCTCTTGGGTATATATCTAGGAGTGTAATTTTGGGTCACATAACTTTAACTTTTTGAGGAATTAGCAGAATTTTTCAGTTTATAGCATTTTACATTTTCACTGGCAATGTATGAGGGTTTCTACTTTTCAGCATTCTTAAGACCACTCATTATTGTATGTCTTTTTGATTATAGCTACCCTAGTAAGTGTGAAGTGACAGTTCATTGTGTCATTTTGATTTGCATTTCCCTAATGACAAATGTCCAGCATCTTTTCATGTGTATATTGGCCATCTCTATATTTTCTTTAGAAAAATATCTATTCAAACCCTTTGTGCACTTAAAAATAAGCTACATATTTGTCTCTTTATTGTTGAGTTGTAAGAGTTCCTTATATATTTTGTATAGTAGATTCTTCTCACATAAATCAGGTATATGATTTGCAAATGTTTTACCACATTCTGTGTTTGTTTTTTACTTTTTTGATAGTGTTCTTAGGCTTTTAATTTTGATGAAATCCAATTTTATCTATTTTTTTATTTCATTTGCTATGAATAAGGTGTTGTATCTGAGAAAACATCACCTAATCTAAGGTTACAAAGATGTATACTTCTAAGAGTTTTATAGTTTTAAAACTCTTTACATTAAAGTCTTTGCTCCATTTTGAGTTAATTTTTGTGTATGGTATGAGGTTGGGGTCCAGCTTTGTTATTTGTTATATATATCTGTGTGTGTGTGTATGTATGTGTGTGTATTATTGATTTCAGAGAGGAAGGAAGAGGTAGAGAGAGATAGAAACATCAATGATGAGAATCACTGATGGGCTATCTCCTGCAAGCCCCCTACTGGGGATTAAGCCTGCAACTCGGGCATATGCCCTGTCTGGGAATCAAACCGGCAATTTTTCAGTGCCTGGGACTAACTATGCCCAACCACCTGAGCCATCATGGCCAGGTTTATCTTCTGATGCTATTAAAAATTTTCTTCTTGCCAAAACCGGTTTGGCTCAGTGGTAGAGTGTCGGTCTGCGGACTGAAAGGTCCCAGGTTTGATTCCGGTCAAGGGCATGTACGTTGGTTGCGGGCACATCCCTGGTAGGAAGTGTGTAAGAGGCAGCTGGTCGATGTTTCTCTCTCATCGATGTTTCTAGCTCTCTATCCGTCTCCCTTCCACTCTGTAAAAAATCAATAAAATATATTAAAAAAATTTTTTTCTTCTTAATTTAGTTTTTGGTTTGTTCACTGCTAACATATACAAATGAAATTTATTATGTTGATCTGTTTCCTGCAATCTTGCTAAACTTGTGTATTAAATATAATTTTTTGTGCGTGTATTCCTGATGAGTTTCTACATGCAAGAACATTTCATTTGTGAATATAATTTTACTTCTTGTACTAAAGTCTTCATGGCTTTTATTTCTTTTTCTTTTTTTTATTTCTTTATTGATTAAAGTATCACATATTTGTCCTCAACCTCCCCCCCCAATTGTGCCCCTCCCCCCTATTGTCCTTGACCGATGGTTAGGCTCATATGTTGCACATAAGTCCTTTGGTTGACTCTCCTTTTTATCCCCACCCTCCCTTTGAGGTCCAACAGTCTGACCCATGGCTCCTTATCTCTGGGTCTGTTTTTGTTCATCATTCTATGTTATTCACCATTTCCCCTTATTTCTTTTTCTTGCCTAATGTTCTGGCTAAAGTCTCTAGTACAATGTTAAAGAGAAGTAAAATTAGAATTCCCATGTAAAATTTAGAATAATTTACAAAATTTTATTTTTTTGGGGGGGAAGTGTGCATGTGTGTGTCTAAATATACACACACACACACATACATATATATGTGCATATATGTATATATGCATGTATATATCCATACATCAGTTTTGGGAGAACTAATGTCATATAACGAATCTTATACTATAAAAATATGATGTCTCTTTCCATTTATTTTGGTCTTTCACCTCCCAGAGGCCTGGAGTCACTGGTGTGGTGCAGAACACCTGCATCATCGCCATGACGCTCGGCGTCCGCTCATACAATTAACCATCCATCTTTATTGGGTTAATTTGCATACTTACTCCTGATTGGCTGGTGGGTGTCAAGAAGGTACAGCCAATTAACATGTTACTCTTTGATTAGGTAGATTAGCAATCCAAAATGACCTGAAGTACAGTCTTCCTCTTTTTTTAAAAATTAATTTATTTTTATTTATTCTTTTAAAATATTTTATTGATTGTTTTTTTTATAGACAGGAAGAGAGAGGGATAGAGAGTTAGAAACATTGATGAGAGAAAAATCACCGATCAGCTGCCTCTTGTACATATGTCCTTGACCGGAATCGAAACTAGGAACTCTCAGTCTGCAGGTCGATGCTCTATCCACTGAGCCAAACTGGTTTTGACTAAAATGAATTTAAAATGGACTAATCCTCATTCATCTGATAAGTTTTTAAATATAAAATTGCACTGCACTGCTATTTACTGGCATCTAATCTTACAGACTTTCTAATTAAACACAAAAGCAAAATTCTAAAATATTTTAGGAAAAAAAAGAGAATAAAAGAAATAAAATTTGAGGATAATTCCTACTATTTAAAAGATATGATAAAAAATTCATTGATTCATTAGTTCACTCAAGGACCAATTTCTAATTCGTTCCCTATTATGTGGAAGGCAGTAAATGAACCAGATCTTGCTATCCTATCTCATAAAAGAGTAATATGCAAATTGACCATACCTCTGCTACACCAAGTCACATCCACCAGCCAATCAGAAGCAAATATGCAAATAAACCCAACCAAAATGGCTATGGCCACAGAGAGCAGGAGGAAGTCTTGGGTTTCCCTGGCAATGGAAGAAGCCAAGCTTTCTGCCTGCCCTTGCCGGCCCAGGCCTCCACTCAAGGCTACAAAGTTTCAATTATAGAAGGTAAATTCCAACAGAAATGGTGGCAGCTACAGAGCTGGAAGAGCAAGAGGCTAGGGTTGCCCCCAGCAATGAAGGAAGCCAAGCTTCTACAAGCCCAGGCAGCCTAAGCCTCCATGCCAGGCTACAAAGTTTCAATTACAGAAGATAAATTTCAACAGAAATGGCTGCTGCCATGGAGGGAGCAGAAGGCTTGGCTCTGCTCCAGGGTACAAAGTTTCAATTGTAGAAAAAATAAATAAATCCCAGATACCAGGGCCTCCACTTGTGTTGCCACGTGACCAGCCTGCAAACCACCACAGGCCCCTTGCCCAGGCCGCCCACCCCCCCATGCACTAGGCTTCTATCCTATATAATAAAAGAGTAATATGTAGATTGACCATCACTCCAACACACAAGATGGCTGCCCCCATGTGGTCAAAGATCCTGCCCCCATGTGGACACAAGATGGCCACCACAAGATGGCCAGCAGGGGAGGGGAGTTGGGGGTGATCGGGCCAGCAGAAGAGGGCATTTAGGGGTGACCAGGCTGGCAGAGGAGGGAAGTTGGGAGTGACCGGGCTTACAGGGAGGGGCAGTTGGGGGGAACCCAGGCCTGCAGGAGAGAGCAGTTGGGGGAGAACAGGCCTACAGGGGAGGGCAGTTAGGGGTGACCAGGCCTGCAGGGGAACGGCAAGTAGGGGCAAACAGTTCTGGCAGGGGAACAGTTAGGTATCAATCAGGCTGGCAGGGGAGTGGTGAGGGGGTGATCAGGCAGACGTGGTTAGGGGAAATCAGGAAGGCAGGCAGGCGAGCAGTTGGGAGCCAGCAGTCCTGGGTTGTGAGAGGCCCCAAACAGGCAGTCAGAGAAACATCCCTCAAGGGGTCCCAGATTGGAGAGGGTGCAGACTGGGTTAAGGGATATCCTTTCCTCCCCTCCCATGCACGAATTTCATGCATTGGGCCTCTAGTTTTAAGTAACCTTTTAGAGTAAGAAGAATAGTTCTGGAGATTTTCTAAGATAATAAATGTTTAAGTTAAAACCTTTTCAAAATTAAGGCCATCGAAGTCAATTATAGAATTAAAATAATAATGATTATATTTAATAAGAATACTTTCTAAATTATTCAAATCACGTTGTGAATACTCATTTTAGCTACCAGAAGCTATTCTGATTTTGGTTTCCTGAGTAAAATAGTTCCTGGTTTAGGTTAGAGCAACAGAAAATAATTTCATGTATACTGCTAAAACATAAATATGTTAATTATTGTGACAAAGATGGAAAAGGTGAATATACACATATGTAAAAAATTTGGCTTGAATGTTTATGCTTTAAGATATATTACCCAAATTAAATAAATCAACTTACATAGTTCTTCTCTATCAAGAGACTGTGCACCACCTCCAAATAAGCCTTTAAAGAATCCCCTGTTTGGTGCTTCAGGTGTTTCTACAGGAGTGAAGAGTTCACCCAACATTTCCTTTAAAATCCAAACAAATTGTAATTGTTAAAGTTTCAGGGAAACTAAACTACATTTCACAAAACTATCACTGTAATCTTTTTAACTTAATTGTATAGCATTATCTGCCAATATTTTTTTAAAAAGAGCATATCTGAAATGATAAGACCCAATACATACCAACTTAGTCAAACAGTAAGTAATTAAAACAAAATTGACTAAGACTGACTTGCTATTTTGGCTAGTTTACTTTACTATATTTCAAGCAAAGATAGTATTCCTGCTTAAACCAGAAGATTCCAACCTTTGACAAATTTTTCACATATCTTTTATAGTTAAGAATTGGTATCTGAATACTTAGTTTCTCTTCCATTAGAAAAAAGAAAAGTGACTAACAAGTTAAAAGCCTAGTGTAATGATGATGAAATGCAGTTTTGGAATTACTACTCTTCAGCAGTCAGAAAATAAGTAATTTAGAAAGATACACCAACTTATTTTTTATAAACATATACTAGGAAGAGAATTATGCCCCCACATGTGGAATTTCAGAAATATGGCTGGAAGATGGGAAAGCTTCCTATATTGTCAGTTGTTGGAATTACTATCAATGTTCTAAGGACATAAATGGCAAAGGCCGGAGACAAGAAATGTTACTAACTTTGTAGATAACACAGAGAGGAAGAGGATTGTCTGTAAGAAAGAGAAGGGTAGTAACATTATTTATGAAGCAGCTTTGAAAAGCTCCAGTGTGGGAACCCTTAACATGACCTTCGTGATTAGGGCCCACTCAGGGTCCGGTTTCCGGAGGAGGCCACACACTAAAATGAAGAGAGACTAGAAAAGAGTTAATTTGGGACAAATGGGGGGCCAAGCAGGAGTCGACCGCTAGTGGGAAGACTCTCTAGGCTCTGGCCTTGCTCTCCCTTTTATTGAGGCTGCTATGGGATACACCCATTACCCTTAAGCAGCTTTGGGAAACACCCATTACCCTTAAGCAGCTTTGGGAAACATCCATTACCCTTAAGCAGCTTTGGGAAACACCCATAGCCCTGAGGCAGGTAATAAGCGGATTATCATATCAGTAAGGATTTACATGATTACAAGATGGATAAGTTGCCTCAGTTACTATTGTCTCAATTAGATAGGGTGTAGTTGGCTCTGACCTTTCAGAGCTTCAAGGTTGACCAGCCTTTTTCTATTAGTGAGACAATGATTGGTTTCCAGCACTCCAGAAGCAAATAAAAGTATAGTGAGACTATGGGATTGCAATGAAGAGAAAAAACTCAAACACAATATTGGTTCCCAGTACCAGTCCTGCTGTACTGTGGTATTACATTATTATTGCTGGAGCTAAAGTGTTAATTTTTTTTTTAGAGTTTCTTTCTGAGTGAAATCATATGGTATTTAGCTTTTTCTGACTTATTTCACTTAGCATAATATTATGAAGGTTGATCCATACTGTGGCAAGTGGAAGCATTTCATCTTTCCTTACGATTGAGTACTATTCCACAGTATATATGCACCACATCTTCTTTATCCAATTGCCTATCGAAGGACACTTTGGTTGTGTTCATGTGTTGGCCACCTTGAATAATGCTGCAATGAATTTAGGGGTGCATATATCTTTGTGAATAAGTGTTTTTAAGTTTTCCGGTCAATACTTAGAAGAGGGATTAATGGGTCATATGGTAACTCTAATCCTAATTTTTTGAGGAACCAACGAACTGTTTTCCACAGTGGCTATACCAGTTTACATTCCCACAAGCAATGAACAGGAGTTTCCCTTTTCTCCACAACTTCTCCAACACTTACTTGTCTTGTTGATAACAGCCATTCTAACAGGTGTGAGGTGGTATCTCATTGTAGTTTTGATTTGCATTTCCCTAATAGCTAGTGAAGTTGAGCATTTTTAAAAATATGTATATCTGTTGAACATTTGTATTTCTTTTGGAGAGAAGTGTCCATTCAGGTCCTCTGCACATTTTTTAATTGGATTGTTTGATATTTAGTTGTATGAGTTCTTTAGTTTGGATATTAACCCTTTGTAGGAGCTGTTGTTTGTACATATCATCTCCCATTTGGTTGGTTGCCTTTTTGTTTTGTTGGCAGCTTCTTTTGCTGTGCAGATAGATATTATTTTTATCCTAATTTTAAAGATGTAGAAGCTCAGAGCCAGTAAATTACTTGTCTAAGGTCACATAATTCAGTAATTAGCAAGGCTGGGACTTATATGCAGTTTTCTTCACTCTAAAGCTCATGTTCTAAAAGTAAGCTACAAATTCCAATTTACTAACAAGTAAAATAGGGCTAATTAATTGCAAAAAATTTCAGGATAATTTTTTCCTAAATACCAAATATCAATTAATATTGTAGCTCAATATTTCAAGAGCAATTTGATTTTAAATGCTGAAGCTAAAATAATGATTTATAATATATAAGCAAGCATACAGGAACTTAAATAATTGAAAAAGACATGGTTTTATATTTAAAGAATTTGTATGTAGTCTATCACAAATAGAGGATGTCCCAAAAAATGTATACACACTTTAATAGCTGGTTTCTATTACATTTTGAAAATGAAATGTATTTTAATAAACAGTGACTTTATAATTATTCAAAGTGTGTATATATTTTTTGGGGGGGCAACCTATAAATCAGCAAAAAAATTCAGAGGAAAACTATCAAACCTTATTTTTCACATCCTTGCAACTACAGGGAAGGGATGACACAATTTGCTCTAAAACAGAATTATTTTCACATTAGCAATACCTCTTTAAAAAGAACTTTTTTTTGGTGCATGTGTATAATAGCTATTTATCCTTTGTAGATAGTAGATATAAAATGTATGTAACATTTCATATATATCTTTGCCATCACAGCAGAGAAAAAATATGGATCAATGAGATGAAGTCCCTCTTATATTGAGAGCCTGATGAAGACACTTGATCACTTGTGCTCTGAAAGTCTTGATAAAGGCTTTGGATGTTCCACACAGACTCATATGTATATTCCTGTAAGTGTAAAGTATATTATAAAGGCCCTTAGAGAATATTTCACCCTGGAAGAAACTATAGTAATATTTTTGTTACTTACTTGAAGATTTTCACAGGTCTCTTGGCTGTAAGTGAGTCTCTGGATTTCTGTAGGTGAAACAAGATATAATGCTTGTCCATTGTTGGTGAAGCAGAACGTTCTGGCTATCCGCATATTGGTAAGGGGCAAGTAATACACATCCAATAGAGGCCTTAAACTTGGCAAACTTGAGAAAAAAATTAAAAACGTGTTAATAATAAACAAGGTAGGTTTTAGTTTTAAACAAAGTATTATAAAAGGGAAAAGTGGCAGGGACCCTATAAACCTTATGACTTATTGCACTTGAATGGGAGATAAAACTGATTTCTCATCTTCATATACTTGATCACTATTAACTGAATGGAATTAAATTATCAGTTTATAAGACTGAAAATAAATAAAATAATTTCTTTCAAATTGACTATCATTCTATAATGCTAGGTTTAGAGAGAGGAAATACGATGTGTTTAAAAAATAACCTCTCACCTAAAAGTCATAATATGTCCATTGGCACAGAAGCAGGCAAGGCAGATACTGTTACTCAATGCCACAATATCTCCCCGAAGAACAAACGAGGTCTCTGTAATGTTTTGCTTATAAGCACAGTTCTGAGTTGGCAGTGCGATTACTTTTGCTTGCTTTTCAGAACAAATCACTGCATACTGGTTTTCATTAATTTCCTGAGAGGAGGAAGGGGATACAGAGACTGGCCGCTTTTTTTTCAATTTCTCCTTTTCATCTTTTTCTTCAGGAACGTTGTATTCTCTCCAGGATTCATAGGCAGGTGGCACTAAGCAGCCTGTGGTGTCCAGGAATGCCATTCTCAGGATCCCTCCCTTTAACCTCAATACAGTACCTAAAATACATAATTTTAGTAAATAACAAGTATTTCAATCAGTACAGTAAATATGTTTATTCCAACACTGATACATAATAGACGCTAAACATATATAGACTATTCTAGAAGCCTGATGCACGAAATTCATGCTCCTCCCCGGGCCCTTCCCGCTGCCGCTGTCAGGGACCTCTGCTGCCTCTGCCTCGGCTCCCACCCACTGCGGCTTTGTCTGGAAGGAAGGACATCTGGTCTAATTAGCATATTATGCTTTTATTGTTACAGATAGTAAACTGAAATTGGATCCAAAATTAAGATATTTGAATCTGGAAAAGATATCAATATTACATGCACCAAACAGATAAGTGCCACCAAACAGATAAATGTTGGGATGTCTGGACCTATGTCTTCTCTCATACTTGACAAATATACTACCAATGCGTGTGAGAGCAAGTAAATGGTATCTAAAAATATATATATTTTATTGATTTTTCTACAGAGAGGAGGAGAGAGGGATAGAGAGCTAGAAATGTCGACCAACTGTCTCTTGCACTCTCCCCACCGGGGATGTGCCCACAACCAATGTACATGCCCTTTACCGGAATCGAACTTGGGACCTTTCAGTCCGCAGACCGACGCTCTACCACTGAGCCAAACTGGTTTCGGCAAGTAAATGGTACCTAGAACTACACTGTCCAATGTGGCAGCCACTAGTCACACGCAGCTATAGGGCACTTAAAATGTGGCTTGTCCAAATGGTAGCATGCTATAGTACAAAAAAAAATTAAAGTAAAATATCTCTATAATTTAAAAATACTGATTACATGCTGAAATGAAAGTATTTTGGATACACAGGATTACATAAGATGTCATTAAAATTAATTTCACCTTTTTTTTTTAATATGACTACTAGACAACTAAAAATTCTACATATTGCTCATATTGTATTATGAATAGACAGCGGTAATCTACAGAGCCAATGAGAAAAAAATTGCACATATTTCTAAACATTACTTCACAAAATCAGATTACCTTTAAAACTATTTAGCAGTAAATGTCAAATGCATTCAAGGTATTATTTTGGTCAAATTATAGTCTTAATCTAGGGGTAATATTTCTTTACTTGTTTTAATTAATGTGGCTCCCTTTCCCCTATATACTTGGAAATGAAAATGTGCTTTATGCTCATTCCTAAGTAAGCTAAAAGATAGCATTAATATTAATGATTTGGAAACCAAAAGAAAGGAAGGTGTTGAATTGAGTTATTTTAAAAGATTTTTCATATTATATTACTTTATATTTATAGAAAATTTTCCTATGTTATCTTCTTTTGTTTTTAAGAGGAACAAAACCCTCCTTAGAAGACAAAATATTATTTCCTATCTTCTTTGCACACACACACACAGAACCCCTAAAAATGTATAAACACATTTTGAATGGTTATAAAGGCAGTATTTATTAAAATACATTTCATTTTCAAAATTGAGCTATGACTTGTTAAAGTATGTAAAGTCCCATTTTGGTACTTTTAGTATTAATATAAATATGTCCCAAATACTGCATTATATTTCCAAATTCTAAATGGGACAAAACTTATTTTAAAAAGTGTTGGTTTCAGAAAAAGATGGCAGCTGGTAGGACAGAGGTGAGGGAGAGGAAGTGAGTTAGGGTATAAAAGGTGAGTGTGTGGATGTATGTGGTATGTGTATGAGTAAGGGATAGTTAAATCTCGCAGGAACAGGAGGGCCTGGCAGACCAGGCTCTCTTGGACAAGGAAAGACTACTACTACTGTGGGCACTCCCTGGACTGTAGGACTCGGGCATGGAGATAAAGACCACATTGTCAATTGATGCAGAAAAAGCATTTGACAAAATCCAACACTCTTTTTTTGATAAAAACTCTCAGCAAGGTGGAAATAGAAGGATCATATCTCAACATAATAAAAGCCATATATGAAAAACCCACAGCCAACATCATACTCAATGGGCAAAAACTAAACCAAGAACAGGAACAAGACAGGGATGCCCACTCTCAATACTATGTTGAACTTTGTTCAACATAGTATTGGAAGTTTTAGCCATTGCAATTAGACAGGAAGAAGAAATAAAAGGGATCCAAATTGGAAAAGAAGAAGTAAAGCTGTCCTTATCTGCAGATGACATGATATTGTACACAAGAAATCCAAAAGACTCCATAAAAAAACTATTAGACTTAATAAATGAATTTGGCAATGTAGCAAGATAGAAAATTAACGCCAAGAAATCTATGGCATTTCTATTCACCAATAGTGAACTTACAGAGAGACTAAAAAAGCAATCCCACTTACCATCACACCAAAAAAAATTAAGATACCTAGGAATAAACTTAACTAAGGAGGTAAAAACATCTATACATGAAAAACAACAGGACACTGAAAAAAGAGAAAGAGGAAGATGTAAGCAGATGGAAGAACATACCATGTTCATGGATTGGTAGAATCAACATTATTAAAATGTCCATACTACCCAAAGCAATCTATAGGTTCAATGCACTTCCCATTAAAATACCAATGGCATTATTTCTCAGACCTAGGGAGAACTCTGCAACAAAAATTCACCTGGAATAAAAAAAGATCCCGAATAGCCACAGCAATTCTGAGAGAGAAGAACAAAATAGGTGGGAATCTCAATACCAGATTTCAAGCTGTATTACAAAGCCACCGTTCTCAAAACAACCTGGTACTGGCACAAGAACAGACATATAGACCAATGGAATAGAATAGAGAACCCAGATATCAACCCTAACCACTGTGCTCAATTAATATTTGACAAAGGAGGCATGAACATATTATACAATGGAGTCAAGACAATCTCTTCAATAAATGGTGTTGGGAAAATTGGACAGATACATGCAAAAAAAAAATGCAACTAGACCACCAACTTATACCATACCACAAAAATAAACTCAAAATAGATACAGGACTTAAACTTAAGATGGAAAACCATAAAAATACTTGAGGAAACCATAGGCAGAGAACTCTCAGACATATGCCAAAGCAATTTCTTCACTGATAGCAGTCTTAGGGCAATGGAAACTAAAGAGAAAATAAAGAAATGGGACTACATCAAAGTAAAAAGTTTTTGTACAGCAAAAGAAACAATCAACAAAACAAGAAACCCCACTGTATGGGAGAACATATTTGCAAATGTTATCACTGATAAAGGTTTAATCTCCATCATCTACAGGAAACTTATACGACTTATGGGCAACGGACCTAAATAGAATCTTTTCAAAAGCAGAAGGCCAAGAGACATATAAAAACATACTCAAAGCCACTAATTATCGACAGGGGGTAGGGGAGGCTGAGGAAAGGTCTATGTAGGGAAGAAAGGAGATATATGTACTACTATATGTAATACTTTAAACAATAAAATAAAAATTTTAAAAAGTTTTGGTTATCTGACACTCAAATTTAACTGGGCATCTTGTACTTTATTTGTTAAGTCTAGTAATCTTAGTCTATATCCCAGAGTTGGCAAGTAGACAATTTAACTATTTTAAGCAGTGTGCTAATTTGGGAATTGTTTATAACACATATGGACATATATGAGATGTAGTAATGCCAGTATGTGGATTTTTCTGAAAAAAATGTAACAAGATAATATTTAAATATATGCATGTCCTATAGTTAGCAGGATTTTATATTTTCCAGCAGAGTATTAGTAATTATTGGGTTCTCCTCTTGAAGGAAAAACAAACATGGAACAAAGTAAAGAAACTTTTGCTTAAAAAATACCTCATTTCTCACAGATAACATGGTATGAATGTCTGTTGTATTTTAAAATTGGTATCTCCTTAAAAAATAAACTTCAAATATTCCACCATTGAGAATGAACTCAAAGATTCCCTCTTAATTATGACAATTATTTTTATAGCAAAGTAAATTTATAGCAAATTTGATTTTATTGCAAGTTGAAAAATACCTTAAATATTTTTGTAGCTAATAGTACATTATCTATATTTAATCCTTCTCTCTTTTTTATTTATTGGGAATATTTATATCTTATTACAAACTAATACATGCTTGTTGTAGAAATTCAGAAATGACTAATCAGTAAAAAGAAAATAAAAATTACACACAATCCCATTATTCAGTGATAATTACTATTAACATTTGATTTTTATGTTTCAATTTTTTTTCTCTATACACTTAGCTGTTGCTTACTCATAAAAATGAGATTAACAAGAACATTATCATTATGTAACTTTTCTAACTAGGCATGGAGTAGTATACACTCAAATATTTACTGAGCTGAATATATAAATCAAACTTCCATCGATGTAAAGATAGTTCGAAAACAAACATTAATACATAGTTACTTTAATTCTAATTCCAAATATTATTAAAGTCCACTCTATAAATAAGAGATAACAGCAAAATCACATTTTTTCCTATCTAGATCAGCATTAATGAGCAAAGGAAACCAGAATTCTGTTATTTCCAGATCTGCCAGACTCCACATATATTTGGTAAAATTTAATCTCATTTTCAACATATGAAGACTATATTTTTCTTCTTAAAATTTGCTACTAAGACACATTTCCCTACTTTAAAGAAGAAAAATAATCTACTTTAAAACTTCATTTTTAAATGTTTTTCTCCTAAATATGTAACAACCTTCTGCTTATACAACATGTATTTTGAAGTATTCTGGAATGTATCAGAATAAGTCCCTCCCCCCAATTTTCTTTTCAGAGAGGAAGGGAGAGCAGGATAGAAACATCACGCCCGCCCCTATCCATAGGCGATGGAGCCCAAAACCCGGGCATGTGCCCTGACCAGGAATCACACTGGTGACCTCTTGGTTGCTGGGTTGATACTCAAACACTGAACCACACCTGGCCGGGTTCCCCATTTTCTTAGCTAGAAATAATTTTAGACTTGATCATAGAGTTTAAAAAGTGCAAAACCCGAACAGCTGTAGTATTTAATGATAGTCTTCAATCTTATTCCATGTATTCCTTTATTAAAAGCATAAAACTATAATGTAACTATACCCATTCAGTTTATGTTTTAGAATTATTAGATTCATTCAAAAATGAAAAACAAATGCATCTATTATATATAGTAAACCAAACTTAGTTCAATACCAGTGCAGCACTGGAGCAGACTTACCACTTGGAGACACAATTACTGGCTGAAGAAGTCTTTGCTCTCCTCCTGGGGGGAGGTTCAGTGCAATGACAAGCACTGTCCCCAGTGTAGTACCAACCCATAAGCAGGGGGAAGGAGACGAATCCGCCTTTCGAGTAAAAGTTTCACAAAAATGGAGAGCAGATATGGCTTCTCGAGATTCTTTATCAATGCTGGTTACGCTTGAACTCCGGGACCGGCTGAAGGAGTTATCTTTCACATCTAAAGTGATTTGAAATGTGAGAGTGCTCAAATTATAAAATATCATTTTGGGGGTATAAATTTGGCTAGTTAATCTGCAAAAAGACAACACATTTAATTTTGATATTTTAACTGGAAAAAAACCTATTTACTTTTATGTTAATTTTTTTTTCATTTGCTCAAATATAAAATGGCAAATAGACAAACCCTATACTTCATTGAGAACCATTGATTGGCTGCCTCCTGCCCGCTCCCCATTGGGGAACAAGCCTGAACCCTGGCATGTGCCCTTGACCAGAATTGAACCTGGGACTTTTCAGTCCACAAACAGACGTTCTATCCACTGATACCGGCTAGGGCAGTATTTTTAATTTTCTACATTTAAAAATGGATTTAGAAGTACCCTAATTCTACCTTCAAATTTATTATATGATGCATTTCCCCCCAAAGCTGACCCGATGAAAGCCTTTACACATAAAATTTAACTTTAATTTTTCTTGAATTCCATTTTAAATGTACTCCACAGTCATCTAAGGCATTTTTTCATCAATGTGTAACTGGTATCAAGCATATTCCGTTCCCAGATGTTTGTAATTATAGGGATACTTGTAAATTATACTAATACACTCTCTCTTGATTTTAGCCACCTTCTTCTTTGTGGCTAGTCTCAAATCTGTCTTAAGCCCTGACCTCTTATCTCTAGGAAATGCATTTTGAAATGTTTATGGGAATTTTTTCTGTCTCACTATGCAAAATTAAAACACAACACTTCCCTAAAGCTCTAAATTCTTCTAATAGTATTATTTATATTAACGACACACCAGAACAATACTTAAATGAGTTGCAATTTTGGTTCTTTCCTTTCTGTATTCCATGGTTTGCTAACATCTATGTTGTTTTTATTTCAATGTCGCTTTTACTCTTTCTATAATCAATCAACTCTTGTTACCAGAAGTTCAGGCCTTCATTATCACTCATATAGACTACTGCACAATTTCTAAGTAATCCCACTGCACTATCACTGTTCCAGCACAATCCAATTAAATGATATTAATGTACAGTTGCAATTCTATCATTTCTATTTTTAAAATCTTCAGTGGTTCCTCTTTACTGATCACGTTTATAATCTTATTCAAGTTTTTAAGACTCTCTACAAAATACCTTCAACCTATCTTCCAATGCTGCCCTGCTTCAGTTTATTGTGGAAAACAAATCGAGCCATTCAGTGTTCTTCAAACACACTGCACTTACGTTTACACTTTTGCTTGTGATTGTGTCCTTGCCTCACCATTTCTTTACCTTTCAAGATTGTGCTAATTCTCCTTCTCAGGTAACATAATCTTCATGAAGTTTATCCTGATTCTTAAAACCACACAGTTTTTCTTCTGAATCTCTGTATCTATTTATCTCTTCTATGGCACTAATAGTACATTTTTCTGTAGTTACTTCTGACTTGTCTTAGGCCTCACTCTAAAGTAACCATAGTTTCCTGATATAAGTAAGGGTTGTGACATATGGATACCTTGCATATGAAAATAATAAATACTTGCTGAATACATATCTATAGTTGAAAGTATGTAAACCAATGCATTTCTGCAGCACATTGGGATGTATTAAAATTTCTAGTAGTACCTACATATAATAAACCATTCCTAAAATCAGATGCTTTCAATGCTATCATGAAATAAATGACTTCATCACGTCATGGAAAAAAAAAAAAAAGTTGGTCTTCTAAGTTGTATTTTATGAAATAAAAAAAACTACTAGTTATGATAATAGTACAGGACATTTCTAAATATAGTTTCTAAAAATGTCTTTCTTTTGCCTGAGATTATAATTACTGTTACAGATTATGACACACTAGAAACAACTTTCCATAAATAATAGCTCATTGGGAATTTGTACTATAATATTGATTCAAATGTTAACTCTTAATAGTTTCCAAAGTTATTTTGATAAAATAACAGAAAATTTAAATTTATTTTGCAATAAAAATGTTTAATTTGTTGCTTTAATTAAAATACACATACAAAATGAATGAACATATATTTTCAGTTGTGATCTAGTGATAAAATTGGAAATCAATCATATAAGAAAACTTGATAATATAAATTTCAATGTAAATTAAGCTATGTGAAAACTGATATTTATTAAAGTTACATAGATTATTTGCAACAATCTATAATCCAAATATTAATCTGTAGTTTTAATTAATAAACTAATTTAACCATAAAAATTTCATAAACTACAAAATTCACATGTATTATGACTTCTCTTTAAAAATTAAATTACCAAAGGAATGTCTAAGGCTAGATCAAATGGGAAAACAAAGTGAATAAGGATCAACTTTGAACTTACAGAATTAGACTGCTTATTTAGTCTGCCTAGAACTGTTTGGATACAAGAATTTCTAGCAGTTCATGAATTACAACATCTTCTGACTGCTATTAAGTTACATGTTGTGAGTCTTTGTGGCTTGAATTTTAGAAATTGGGCAAGATAAACACAGGGAATAGAAATTTAAGTTTTAGTAACAAGAGTAGAAATGAAAATAACTACCAGGTGCTATATGCTATCATAGCACTTTTATATTTTATTGAATCCACATAACAACCCTGAAAAGTATTATCATCACAACTTAACAAATAATAAAACAGAGGTTCAGACAGGTTAAATGACTTGCCCAGCATGACAAAGCTATTTAATGGAAGAGTTTGAGATTTGTGCCCATGTCCAAAAATTTCTATTACACCACTCCAGATAGATATGGGTTAATCATATCAAAAAGTCACAGCATAAAAGAGGAAGGTTTTAGTTAATATTGAGTATTAAAAGTTCAGTCACACACACACACACACACAAAACACCTTGATGACAGATCTAAACTCAGATAAAATTTGTCTTTAAGGTCTTGACCCAGAGCTAGCTGATAACAACCATGTCATAAAATTGTCTCTCTCCTGTTTCTCCAGATGCCCAGAACATTACTTGTATATACACATTCTCATCCCCACAAAGAGCCTAATGCAAAAGAAAAAAAAAAAATCTATATCCCCAAATCAAAACACAATGCCAAGAGGTAAATTTGTTCAGAGTAAAAATTAGGACAAAAACTAATTCCTAATTCACATTAAGGTATATAACAATTTGATGTTTTGCCTCCTGTGGCTGACATTTGAAAAGTGACATCAGAAGTCTAACAATATCATGCGTGGCTCCTGATTTATGGGCCAGGAAATCTGGAGTAATGAGGCTATAGTGAAAGTGTAGTGTTCCACAATTTTCCCATAAGTCAAAGTGAATTCTACTCACAGAAGCTTCCAAGCTGAAGGACAGTCAAACAGCCTTGGCTGCTTCAGCAATACCTGTCAGCCTGAACCTATCAATTATAGCTGTTTTCCCCAATGACTTCCCAGCTAATATAAACAATTACCAGCTAAGAATCTATAAAAAAAAATAGTTCAGCAGCACAATGACTTGAAGAGAAATTACTTAGACAACACGGAGACTGTTTCAAGGCATATATCAATCATAATTACAATTGGCTTAGGGAATTTAAATATATGGGCACACAAGCTAAAACAAATTAAAGATAACTTATAAAAGCATGGAGTAAACACTTAGATTAACTTATTTACATAAGTTATAACAATGTTCCAAAAAGGATTATGATACTTTTACTAATTTAAAAGTATTTGCATATGTATTTTCTCAGTTTTTAAGAAACTAAAAGATATTTTAACTAGTGGTATTTCATGTTATTGAAATCATGGACCTCTTTGAGAGTCTGATGAAAACTCTAGATCCTCTTGTTGAAAAAAAAAAAAAAAGTATATTATAAGTCTCAGGTACAATTGGGTTCAAATTACATCCTTCATTTTTATAGTAAAGGAAACAGTGCCCTTCTCAAAAGATATGTTAGCATACATTCTCAGATTAATTCATGTTTCCCTAAACATCAGTGATACTACAGGTTTCTACTAAATTATTTTTCCTATGTTCAGGCATGGAACCCTTTACTAACAACAGCAGAAAATCTATGCCCACTCACTCATAATCACATACTTCCTATCAGTGTAACTGATATAAGACTATGATTTGAAGATATTAAATTAGTATGTAAACCTGAGCAATACCTACATATGTATTATGCATAAAAAGATAGTCAAGGAATCTAGAGAATAGTGAGAAGGTAAGATTGGTGAGTAAATTCAAAGAAGAAAAACCTAGTTATTTCCAAGACAAAGATGGGTGAGGTAAACCTTTTACACTCATACTTATTCAATTAAAGGCCATACAAATTTCTAAAATTAAAAAATGTGTTTGAAAAGAAACCATGCTTTATTTTTATTACATAAAAATCTTACTTTTATCTTTATTGAAATCTCATTTGTCCCTATTGTGTGAAATCAGGGAGCTGTTTTTAAGTGGCATATAAAGCAAAAGGAATATGTGTGTATATTCACTCTGCTTTCTTAATGGACTAGCTGCATAGAAAGTGCTCTAGAAAAAGATATATTTCCCACCTTATTATCAACAAAAAGTTCTTCATATGAGTTAATATAATTCAAAAAACTTATAATTTATTTTGAAAATATTAAATTTTTATCAAATTTAGAAACTGTAGAATTCAAATTATGTTTTCAGATGGTTAAATATGATGTAACAACTTTTATTAGAAATCTGAAATTGCACAAATCTTAATCTTATACTAAATTTTGTTTAGATATGAGAGGGCTAAGGAAATGTATTATTCTATTTTACTTGATTTCATAATTATCTTTCATAATTTACTGATGGTTTTTAAAAGCCACTAATTCTTTAATATCTTAGTCATTTTAAACTTGTTTTCTGATGAAAATATAATTTATGGTAATTTTAAATTTTCTGATTTTCTTGTCTTCCCGTTAAAGGGAGTTTAACTACTATGGATTTTTATTTATTTTACTTACCTAAGTCAGGCTTTAGGTCAGTAGGCAAGCTTAACTTCCTTGACATCTTTGCTGAAAAATAAAATGCATTTTTAAACTTCTGAACAATCTTTAATTGATATTTATTAATACCAACTGCTCTTGTAGAAGCAAATGTTTATTACTAAATCTAAATGCTAAGATAACTGAAATGATTAATAATATTATGGGTGGAAAGTAAATCTTATTTTCAACTTTTTAAAAAGTATGTACTTACTTGCTGTAATATCTTTTCATGTTTGAAGCTCTTACTTCAACAAGGAAGCTTTTTATATTCTGTTAATTATTCCTTAGGCTCAAAGGAAAGAGGCTTTTCTAAGAGAAGCAAGGTCATTTTTCAGAAGGAAGGTAAGAACAATAGAGGCATATGACTGAGTTTGGGTAAGTGATGTAATAAAATTGCTCTATCTCATCTTCATAGCTATTGAATTTATTATTTTTAAGTTAATTTCTAGAATCTAGGACAAATCTGTACGTACAATCAAATGAAAGCATTTGATTACATTATAAAATGTTCGGGTCAACCATTTGATATAAATTAACACCTCTATTTATATTTCAGAAAAAAAATTAAAACTCAAAACAAAGTCATGCTCAGTTTAAAATTATAGTATTTACAAAAACGTAAACTATAGATATTTAGATTTCTACTTAGTATTAGAATAATAGAAAAGCCTGTGTATGAACTTATTGGAATTCACTTTCCATCCTCAAAATTAGTTATTGCATTCATCTAGGAAGTGATTTAAAGTTAGGAGCTGTTTAACAACATCTATTATGTTAGTGTCAGTGCATGCGAAACAGAATAGTGCTTCCTATGTGAAATTTAAAAAAAGCATGTTTGTTAATACATGAGTGTGTATATCAGGTTAAATTTTGGACTGTTAGGAGATATTTAAAGCACAGACCCTGCTAGTCCATAAGGGCGCCATGTAAACAAAGAGAAATCCAGTCATAGAACATAACTTCCACATCTAAAAAAATGACAAATCCAGTGTTAAGAAAGAGGCATTGGGGAAACTGAGAAAGGATGGGGCAGGGGGTGAGGAATAGTTTTCACTTCTAAACTTCATAAGCATCCTTTAAAAAACAACAATGGGCCATAAAAGAATTAGTCTTTTCCCATATTCACCTGATGTAATCTCATTTAAAAAATAAAATGCAATAGAAAATTAAACAGCCAAATGAAATCTATGGTTACTTGACCTCATATAAATGGCTGCTATTGTATTTAATATCCAATTCCATTAAAATCAGAAAACATTATACCCCAAAACCATCTTTTAAAATGCAATATTAAACATTTTGAATGAATGTCAAGGTTTTCACTTAATATCATCCACATGCTATGTGAAGCAGAAAAATAAATCTGGTACAATCTAAAGATGCTCTTGTTAGAATCAGATGATGTGGATGCCTCTCTGACCCCACCATGCTGACCTGGATCAAGTTATTCTAAGTCTCTGGACTAGTGCTGATCAAACCTGGAAGTGCACACCAATCAGCGGGGGGTCTTGTTAAATCAGATTCTGATCCTGTACCCGGGCGAGGGCTTGGGGTTCTGCACTTCTATCAATCTCCCAAATGCTGCTGCTGTTGCTGGTCTCTGAACCACACTTTGAGCAGCAAGGTCCCTAAACTGAAAGCACATTCAGGATAGAAAACAGGACTAATTCATTAACTCAGAGAGTATGGACACTGAGTCCACAACAAGCATTTCTTGAACAAATTTTTATAACTAGTTTAAATAATGTGGAAGAATAAAGTGTAGCAGTTAGAACTAGATTTGGAATTAGAATAAATCTGAGTTTGAATCTACTAATCTTAAACCAATTAGTAGGTAGGTGACCTTAAACCAACCACTCTGCCTCTCTATAAACTTTAAATTTCCTCCTCTGTAAAATGTAGAAAATAAGGCTCATTTCATAGCTTTGAGGAATATGTAAGATAATGAAAGCAAAGCACTGAGCATATTATATATAGTATGGAGTTGATAAATGTTTGTTATTTAATAATAAGCAAATGGAATACACTTTTTTTCATAAACTATAAAATGCTATACAAATGAACAATTTATATGACATTATAAATTACCCAATGTTACTTTATTCTAATTGTATGGTAATATTCCAAATAACTAAGTGTATGCTTTTAATTTCCTTTAGGATTTCTACTAGAAATTCTTCCATATATAATATTTTTTTCAGGTATTTTAAGAAATTAAGTTAACCCTCCCCATAAAAGGTTTTTTTGGTTTATTTATTTATTTTGGCCTAGCACCACTTTCTCTAACATGTAAAGAATGGAATACAACTAACTAGCCTTCAAATGCATCAGTTGGTCTTATTTTTCAACATTTTAGAGGTTAAGACCACACACAAAAATGAATAGGCACATTTTCTGAATATAGTAACTTTAATATAAATGTTACAAAATGATTTAAGTATGAAGTCCATTATATATATATATACTAGAGGCCCGATGCACTAAGATTCATGCAAGAATGAGCATTCCTTTGCTTGGCTATTGGCACTGCCTTTGCTCTGGCCTGGAGCACCTTTCTGTCTTCCCATGCTGCCCAGAGGCCCAGAGTGGCTGGGGCAGTGTGGAACGCATGTGTCATCACCATGGCAACAATGCAAGTGTCCTGCCCCTGGGTGCTCAGTGCCTGCATATGCAAACTAACCGGCCATCTTTGTTGGGTTGATTTGCATACTCACTCCTGATTGGCAGGTGGGCATCATGAAGGTACGGTCAATTTGCATATTTCTCTTTTATTAGTGTGTATGTGTATATATATATGCCTAAACAATCTCTGACCACCCAGTAGCTATGACATGCAACGACCATGAGGGGGCAGATGCTCTGACTGGTAGTTATGGTGTAACTGACTATCGGGGGGCAGACGCTCAATGCAGAAGCAGTCGAGCTGTGGTGACTTGGAAGCTACGGTTTTCAGGTGACGCACCTGGAACCAGAGAGGAAGGATCCTGATTCTGGGATGTGATAACCAAGAACTGCCCTCTTTCAATCTGGGACCCCTTGGGGGATGTCAAGGGATGTCGGAGAGCCAGTTTCAGCCCAATCCCTGCAGGCCAGGCAGAGGGACCTGTGCACTGGACCTCTAGTTTCTTCATAAAACACTTGGAAACTGGAGACCCACAATGAGACCACCAACTCAATCATAGCAATCAGTCAAAAGACATTTAAACCACATTGATGTTATGTTTGCATATAACTGTAAGCAATCTTCTTAAATATAGAACTTGAAATTAAAAGATTAACCTGTATTATTTAGTGTTAATTCTAGCTGTTGATTAATATTATAAAAATAGATACAGAACTAAGAGTTTTGAGGAGCAGAATAAAACTCATTGATCTATTAAATACTGGCACAGGCCAGTAATTTGTCAGAAGACAGGGATTTCCTGCACTCCAGGAACTTACACTCCATTAGAGAAAACAAATAACTCCAAAACAATGTTGCCAGTACTATTAACAAAGCAAGCACAATGTACTAATTTATACCTATCTCTGGCTGGAATACTTATCATAAGACTGTGAGTTATTAAGACAAAGACAGCAAGAAATAGTTTAGACTTCCTACATTTTACAAAACAATTTTTGCCAAACATTTTTGTTGACAGTATTTTTCTTTAGATATAAAATTTACATGTAAGTGCACAAATCTTAAATGTATATTCACTAAGTTTTAACAATGTATGCATCCTGTAATTCAAAATCATAACAGGATATATAACTTTATCAGCACTCCAAAAAGGACACACATATTCCTTTCCAACTAATTCTTGCCCTTGTCCCCAGAAACAGCCACTGTTCTGATGCTTTTTCCACCATTGATCAGTTTTGCCTATTCTAAAACTCCATATACATGAAATCATGGCATAAACTCTTAAGACATCTTTCACTCTGGGATAATGTTTTTAATCTTCTTTGCAAAATATTTTAAAGGTTAAATTCATTTTTCAATGCACAGAATGAGACTTTTTAGATGAAAAACGATAGTCTCAATTAATAGACCCTTAGGCAGTATTACATTATCATTGTTTTTCTGTTGCCCCACACTCATGCATATCATCTTTAAGCTTTTTTTGAATTATGTGTTCTTTACAGAAATTTAGAAAATACAGAGAAACAGAAAATAAGATCCTCATGAATGCCTATAATGAAGAAGTAACATTTTTGCATACTTCCTGCCACTCCCTTTTAAAATCCATTTTTATTTATACAATTGAGATGAACTATAATATACAAATATTTCACAAACTTATTTAGCTAAAAATAAAGAAAAACATGCATCAGAGAAAATCTAATAATGTACTAAAGTCCCAGCTCACAACTCTATCTCCTCGAAACTCAAACTGTGCCTTATTTTTTATCATATTAAGTGTAGCCGAGAAATCTGAAGCCATATTATCACCTATCTTTGAATAGAACTTGTCTGTTCTTCATGGATGCTTATGGGGAGGGAGGAGGAGGAAAGATGATGATGATATGGGAAGGTTTAAATCCTTGGCATTTCACATTATATAATTAATTTGTATTTATCTGTCTTCAGATTCCATAACCCTTTCTTCTGTAAATTTCCACCCAGTGAATTTATCATTATGGATATTAAACTTTTCAGTACTGATGTTATTTTTAAAAACCTTTATTGTTGAAACTAATACATAAGACCCCCTTTTCCCCCAGTGACCTCTTCTACCCTTAACATTTTTATTTCATTCATTATTAAGTTTCTATTTTCTCCATGTTTAATCATCATGACTCCCTCCCCCCTTTCAGTACTTGAACATATTATAGCAGCTGCTTTAAAATCTCTGCTAATTTCAACATTCAAGTGATCTTCAGGTCTGTTTCTACTGATTTTTAAATTCTTGACTATGTGTCATATCTCCCTATTTTTTATTGTGAACCTTTTATTTCACATACCTAAGAACTTTTGACTAGATGCTGGACATAGTGGATAATATGTTGAAGGGAGTCCAGATTACATTGTCAACGTTAATAGG